GGGTGGTAGCGTTGGTGCTCCCCGCATTACAATGTCCCACTTGTCCCCGCCGGGTTGTAGCATTGGTGCTCCCCTCTCCCGCCGCCGGGTCGCAGCATTGGTGCTCCCCGCTCGAAGACTACCAGCCTATCTCAGAGAGGCCGCAAATTGGGACCTCGGGAATACATGTACGGAGACTCTCCTTGAGACTTCGCTTTTCACAGGTCAAGGCTTTGGGGCTCCCCGGTTCAGGATGTCCTTTTGTTCATCGGCCACTACTTGTTCCGAGGGAAGTCGTATCGAGCCTCGTCCCTTGTATAGGATTCAGGTCTGAAGAAGCCCGGCATTGCGACCGACTGGATCACCTTGAGTGGGGCAGCCATTTCAGGCAAGCGCGGCTCACATCTCTAGGACTACAGGCGCTTTCCAACTCTATCTTGCAATGGACCCGGCACTACATGGCGACGCCATCCGAGCCCTTCGTCTCGGACTCACCTTTGCGGAGCAGAGTCTACAGTACTTAATGCCGGCACCGACCGCGCACTCCCGCCCCCCAATTCCACGCCGTCCTCACAATGATATGCTGGATTCCGGAGTGACCCGCTCCCGCTCCCCGCACGCATATCGTGAAGAGATGGCACTTAACCATGGCCGGATGAGGCAGCAGCGAGCGCGCCGCCAACGCTGCCCCTCCCCCCTCCGACGCGCCTCCTCGAAGAGGCGTGGTGGCACAAGAGGTCGCCCACAGCCCCCTTCCCGCCACCCGCTCCGCACTGCCTCCCCCCGCTTAGCCAATGTGGGAGAACGGACACACACTCCGACCGCCCGCTCCCGCCAGCCCCCCCGCCCTTCGCCGCAGACGGCTGCCCCCCATCCCGCTCCCAGTCTGACAGTGACTTTCCCGGCAGGATTTCACATTGGTGGCCTCGCGTCCCCGCCCTCCCCAGCAGCTGTGGAATCTATGTTGTGCGCTTTTTGGCATCAAGATCCACGACCTTTCAGTCCTTGCAGCCGCTGCACCAACTTGTCCCCGCCAATGCCAGGCGCCGTGTCACTGCGTTTCTACTGGGACATCCTAGGTTCCTGGATGCAGGCCTGGTACAGCGCATCATGGAGGAGCTTTGTGGCGGTGCTATCCTTGATAACAATCAGGGGGTGACTATCTCAACGGCCTCAGGTAACCTACGAATCTCTTTGGCTACACGCATAACCAGGCAGCTCGCCAATGCTGTCCCTACATCCGAACCTGATGCCACGCCGGGGCCTACAGGGAACGGCAGCACAGAGCCTGCCCTACATAACGGGAGATTACGCCGCTATCTCGCCGTCCGGTCCGGTTGGCGGTGGACCGACAGTGAGGATCACAATGCCTGCCATGGAGGGCCTGATCCCTCCGCCCCCCCAGCCGGAGGCTGACGGTGGGCCTACAACGGCCCCTTCCAACGAAGATGCCGCCTCTCCGCCGTCGGTGCTTGAGCCCTCACCCCCACCTGCAGGGTGCGGTGCGCTACCAGCGCCGCACCCGGAGCCATCCAGTAACAATGACACATCCACTGCGCCTGCAGTGTCAACGGACGACCTGGCCCCTCCCCACCGCATTCACACAGAGGCCGGGTCTCTAGTCGGATCCACGGAGAGCGCTCCCATGACCCCTCCTATGGACTGCGAGCTTACTCCCCACCTGCGTGGCGTGGAGTATGTGCTCAGCGCCAGCTCTCCCCTTCCCGTCTCCAGCCATTTCGTGAAGGTGAAACACTTGTTCGTCTGCTTTGCATGCACTACTTCCATAAGGAGTGTGTCACCAGATGGTGCGCCTCTCCCATACATGGTCATCGCTGCCCCAGCTGCAACGTGAACCTGATTGAGATGGACAACTGACCCGTCTCTGGGCCGCTTCATGTCCCCCACAACAAGTGGGATTGACCGCCAGGCACCCGGTCACGCAAGGTGTTGGGGTGCCTTGGCAGATTTTGATCCGGATTGCTCTGCTGAGCAAACTACCTGATGCAATGGCCGCAAAAGCAAGGCTCCATCTGGGCTTGAGCTGGGGCCCCCCATTCAGCAACTATGCATTACTGCGTTGGAATTGTTCTTTCGTCGGCTTCTGCAAACTTCCGTTTACAGCTTAAC